CCAGCGTGAGCGGCCAGCAGCCACCAAGAGTGGCCGTCCAGAAGCCGGTGACTGATCTGCCTTGCCCGGGAAGAGAGCAATGATGGTGCCAACTTGGGCCAGTGAAGCAACGTCCTCCACAACTAGACTGAAGAACAAAAAAGGACAGCAACTTGTCTGTTCCCCTTCCCCCGATTCCCCAGCGCTGTTCGCCTTCCCCAATTCCCCAATAAAATCTTTAAAAAAAAAAAAATAGCAACTGAAAGTGATCATAGGTAATTCTTCACTCATGGCACTCTTTGGAAATAGCTAAAGAGTTTTATTAGAGATAAACATATAAACTTTATTATTTGGCCTTCTTAAAATGTCTCTTTATTTGGCCAAGGAATTTTAAAATAATCAAAATTATATGGAGAAATAGTTTCCCACAGTTAACGCAGTTGTCATGTTAACAGTTTCATGGCTTGAAAACATTGTATCGCTGAGTAGCAGAGTGGTAGCGTGGGGCTTCTGTGGGTCGCCCCCGGTGGCCTGGCCCTCTCGCGCCTTGTTTCTGCCTGGCCTTGGCCACCACCCTCTGTCCTCGTCTTGTCCTCTGGCTCGGCCACATTTGCAGGGTGATGCTAATGAAGACCATTAGGCAGGAATGCAAATGTCAGATTCGTTACATATGTTTGTCTACGAAGTCAGAGTTGTGCCGAAGGATAATGTACTATGTTTTAATCAAGGTTCATTTAATGACTATTTTATTTTTAAGGCTTGAACTCAAACTTGAATGTAAATATGGATATGAACAGTATTAAAGAGCCACAGTCAAGACTAAGGAAGTGGACCACAGTGGACAGCATCTCTGTGAACACGTCTTTGGATCAGAACTCCAGCAAACATGGTACAAATACATTGTTACCCTCTCTGCCGTTTGAAATACCTTGTGGAAGACTAAATTTAGGCCTTCACTGTATCTTAAAGATGTATTGTCAAAGTCAAATTCTCTTACAACCTTTCCTCATTTTTTAAAAGTGCTTTATTAGTTAGTAAATCTTAGTTAAAACAAAATAAGGAAAATTAACCTTTATTATGTTATTGTACAAAATAGAGATGAGATTATACATTGAAAAAAAATTATTTCCCTTTTGATGGGAAATTAAGTTTTCACAATTGATTTTATTGTTCTGATGTTCTACTTAAGATTTACACAATTTAATCTGATGTAGAGTATTGAAAACTTCCACTATAATTTGATTTCTATCAGTTTTCTTATAATTGGCACATTTTCTTTATATAGTTTGTGGCTATGTAAATCATTTAGATTCAATATTGTCTTTTCATCAGTTAATTACATATTCTTATTTATTTTTAAAATTAATTTATTTTTTATTAGTTTCAGGTGTGCAAAACAGTGTAATAGACATTTTTACACCCCTCACAAAATGATAAAACCCCTCAGTCTACTGTCCCTCTGACACCGTATATAGCTGTTACAATTCCATTGACTAGTTACATATTTTTTAATGTCATTTCAACCTTATTTACTGTTATCTGTTCATCGAGCCACAGTCACAGACTGTCTTCTGCTTTCCAAGGTCTGTGCCAAGGCCTAGAATGCCAGGCGCACACATACCCCTGGGCACACAGCTGAGTGTGTGTAGGCAGTAAAGTGAGTGTGCAGTAGCTCATGCAGTGTCACAGTGCGAACCCACTGGAGGACCAAGTGGAATTAACATCTGTGTCTGTGTCAGGTCCCAGAGGCTTTGTAGAGAGACTCAGGAACTGAGGCCTCAGCTCACCGAGTGAGTGAGTGGAGGCCAGCCTGTGAGAGGCTGCAGGGCAGGGCACCCGTTCAGTGTGTGGGGGCGCGTCTGCAGGTGAGACAGAAGGAAGGTGGAGCTGGAATGGCTGGTGTGGGACAGATCATGGGAACTTCTATGGCACACATCACGCTATACATGACGGTGAGGGGCGGCATCATATCACAGGTGTTAGAGGTTGGGACACAGGGCTTGTAGCTGGCTGAACTCATTCGCAAATACCCTGTTCTCTGTGGTGTGCCTGCTAACCTCTATCCCGCATCCGTCTAACCCCTTGACCTTTAAGACAGGACTCAAAAGTTATTTCTGGGAGGCGCCTCCGGGCCCTGCTCCCCAGGCCCCCGCGCACGCTGCTGTGGCCTGGAGGAGAGCCCCTCGCGGCTCTGGGTGCTGACAGGACACATGCGTGCAGAGCAGTTAGCAGCAGTAAATGCAGGAGGGAGGCCACATGGAGACCACACAGCGGCCTGGGGTGGGCTTCTCACGTGGGTGTGTTGGGGATACCTCAGTGTGGGGGAGCCTGGTAAGAAATGAGAGGCAGAGGCCCAGTCCGCAGATGGGAAATCGGGGCTGAGGGAGATTTGCTGTTCATCTGAAAGTTGAGGTCAAGGGCAGGACGAGGCTGCCCGGAGGGAGCAGGGCGAAGAGCTGGGCAGGACCTGGGGCCACTGGCGGGAGGAACCCTGGGAGAGACGGGCCATGGAGACCCAGAGGGTGTTCCTGCCGCCTCACCCACTTTCCCCTTTTAGGTGCTATTTCAAGTGGTTTCAGGCTAGAAGAGTCCCCGTTTGTTCCCTATGACTTCATCAACAGCAGTGCTTCGCCAGCCAGCCCCCCAGCGCCCGTGGGAGACGGCTGGCCACGTGCCAAATCACCCAGCGGCTCGAGCAGTGTTAACTGGCCACCAGGTAAAGTGCGCCCCCCCCTCCCCATGCAGCCACTCGCAATTCAGCCTAGCTGTGTGTGATCCCACTGACTGCTCAGGCGGCATGCAGGTGATAGCAGGAAGTCCGGCCTGTCCCCAGTACCATTATGCTCTGAGCCCTGGGGTGAGCTGGTCCCACGGAGAGGGACAGAGTGGTCTCCATGCAGTGCCCCCCTTTAGCCGTGTCAGGGCACCGCCTGGACAGTCTTCGTCATCCTGAGGGGTTTCCGGAAATGCACCTGTTGCTGTGGCCATGTTACCTGTGATGGAGCCTGTTGAGACACTGCTGTTTAAAATTATAAATGCAGAGCCTTGATTGCCACTGTAAAAACTTACAAGCTATTCATAAATAACAATGTGTGTTTTGATACAATTTTATCATTGAATCAAAGTATTTGAGAATTGCATAGACTTTAGGAGTAAACGTTTTAGATATTTAATCATGGAGTTTTAAATGGTGATTGGGCCGCTCTGATTTTAACTTTTCATTTCCAGAGTTTCGCCCTGGTGAGCCGTGGAAAGGTTATCCAAACATTGACCCTGAAACTGACCCTTACGTCACTCCTGGCAGTGTCCTGAACAGTCTCTCAGTAAATACTGTGCGGGAAGCGGACCACCTCAGGGACAGGAACAGCGGTACGTGGGGCGGGCGTTGGGGCGGGCGGGGGACACCATCTGCAGAGCTTGCTCCAGCCGTCACGTCAGGTCACCTGACACCCGGGGGAACGTGCCGTGTTCCCCCAGGTGACTCAGCTTTTTGTTAAAGGATGATGAGTTAGTTACTACTTGATACGGGAAGCACGTGCGTTAATTTAGTGAACAAAGGGGATGGAGGACCATATTAACCACAGGGTGCGGCCTGCTTTGTCGCAAGTCTCAGCATTGTGGTTATTTAGAAACGGGTGTTTCTCGTAAAGGATACTAGGTGATTATTGGTTACTGCACACTGGATTTTAAAGCGCTTTCCTCTGGAGAAGCAGCTCGGCTTTCTGTGTGTCTCAGTGAAAATAAGACCACTCAGGCGCACTTCTTCTTGGGTTGTCCCATATGGTCACCCTGCCACCTACCACACAGCTACTTTCACCACAGGCGTTTGCCCACAGTCGTGTGTGCGCTGCAAGAGGCGAATGGACAAGTGAAAGCATTTTCTGTTTTTATGAGCCTTTTAAACAATTCACAGTAAAGAAAACGTAAAGCAGCCAGCACCCTGCTGTCGTCAGTGTGACAGGTGAACGGGTGCCGGCCACATCCCAGTGCTAAGGGAAGGGCCTCGTCTCTGTGACACGGCTGCGTTTAGCAGACAGAACAGCCGTGCGAGTAGTTAGAGCTGCGACTTTCTGGGAAGAAAGGGATGGGACAGCCGAGCAGGCGTCCCCACGTCCTGCTGATTAAGGGAAGACAGGCGCTTCTGAGTGCAGGAGGCTGTGAAAGCCGGGAGAGCAGCGCTGACGGTGTGCATAGGAGATGCAGCGTGGAGTGGCAGTGTGACGGCGGCCAGCGAAGCGGACGGGGGAGCCCAGTGGGTCAGGATGGGGGCTGCACAGGGGCGTGATGGGGGGAGGCGCCTGGCTGGCTGATGGTGGTACTGGTGCCCAGTGCCCTTGGCGGCGTCCAGGAGAAGTCCTGGGATTCAGACAGGAGCTGGGAGCAGTGAGAAGCAGCCCTTCCAGACCTGTGCTGGGAGGCGGGTGCATTCTCACAGACCTGTGACAGCAGCCGGGGGGGACAGTGAGCAGCTCTTGCTAGGCCTACTGCTGGGGGGTCGGGGGAGCAGGAAGCTGGGGCCCTCCTTCACGTGCTGTGAAGGTTCGGTTTTGCTGGACGTGTTTCTTCTCGGGTATTGCGTCCTTGCTGTGGGGGTGGCTAATTGGGCCCTTCCCCCAACCCCCCGCAGGGTCAGCCTCATCCTTGAACACCACGCTGCCTTCAACTAGTGCCTGGTCATCCATTCGTGCCTCCAACTACAGCGTCCCCCTCAGCAGCACAGCACAAAGCACTTCAGGTGGGCGCCGCCCGCGTTCCAGCCTCCTCCCCCGGCACCCTGAGCGGCCCACGCCTGCACGCCGTCTGTGAGGCGGTGTGCGCCAGGAGAGGAGCGTTAGCCAGCCAGACGGCCTGGGGTCGAGTCTTGGCTTTGCCCTGGCGTGGCCCCTCTGCCCCCCCGGTGTGTGTCAGGACCACAGATGGGGAGCCAGGTGGCCTCGGCCCGGGGGGCACAGGTGATGCCTGCTGTGCTGGCTTCCCGAGTGGGGTGCCTTTATAGCATTTTGTCCACGAGTAAACAACAAAGTTCTTGAATTGGTCTAATGGGCTGTGTGACACTTTTGAGTGACTGGGGACAGTTAGTGAGGTAAGGAGGTCCCAGCTGCTGTCCCCAGCAGCACAGAGCAGCGTCGTCTGCCTTGTTCTGACTTCAGTTAAAGTGCAGGTGTGTGCCGGGCACTGAGACATCCCCGGCCGGGGCTGGAGCCGAGTGACAGACAAGTGGTCTCGGGGTTTTGAAGAGAGGGGCCGCTTTCCTTTGCTTTGTTTGTCTTTAGCGGTTTGGTTTGATTTGGGGGTTTCTGTAGTTTTTCTTTTATATTTGATTTGCTTTTAGGGGGAGAAAGGTGTTTTTAACATCCTCGCTTCTGAAAGCATTGTCTCCCCCTCCCGCGTTTGTTCCCCTTGGAGTAGCCAGAAATAGTGATCCCAAATTGACGTGGTCCCCCGGTTCAGTCGCCAACACCTCTCTGGCCCACGAGCTGTGGAAGGTGCCTCTGCCACCTAAAACCATCACCGCTCCGTCCCGCCCGCCGCCGGGCCTCACCGGTCAGAAGCCACCCTTATCTGCGTGGGAGAATTCTCCCCTTCGTGTAGGTGGAGGATGGGGGAACTCGGACGCCAGGTACACCCCAGGTAAGATGGGGTGCCAGGTGGGCTGTGGGGCCGGCTTACAGACCCGAGGTCACACTCCTGGGGTAGGACGTCGCCCCCTCTCTCCTTCCCATGCCTTGGCCTCTTAGGTTTTACTGGGCATTTTGCCCAGTTTACTTAACAGCAGTCACCCAAAGGCACACAGCAGTCGGTGGTGAGTGAATGGTACGGGGGTCTCCTTCCTTCTGGAACGCCCCGTGTCACACACAGCTCGAGCTGTGAGGCCCCAGGGCCAGGAGAGGGGGCAGAGCCCACCTGGACACTGAAGAATGGAGCCTATATGTGGGGTGAAAGCTTGGCCAAGATTTGGGGTGACCATACAATATGTGTAAACGGGGACATTGGAGAGCGAAAGGCGGCTGTTCATTAATCACACAGACCCCGCAGCGTGAAGCAGACGTCCCAGGAAACGGGGGCAAATGGCTGCCCCCTCCACTCCTGCCAGCAACGAGCACGGGGCTCGTACTGGTCTCATGCGCCCCCAGCTCTGCTGTGGCGCTCCGTGCCAGCCCCCCAGTAAACAGGGCCTCACCTTCCTTGTGTCCTGCCCCAGAAATAGTCCAGACTTTGTGGTCTCCAGGCTGAAATGGTGGTGAAACCCCGTTAGTATCCTCTGCGCGTTTCACCGTTGACTGGCTTAAGTAAAACTTAGTGTTTTCTTTGGGGAGAGTGCTGAGTGCATAAAAGAAAGTGGAGTCTGTTTTAAGCTGCTACATGCAAATGAATGTCACGGGTGTTGTGGGTAAGTGCTTCTTTGGGGCCACAGACACCTTGTGGGTGCCAGCTAAGTGACTGCTAGTGCAGTGAGGGGACTTCATGAAAGTGGCCCTGGTGCCCCCACCCGAGGGTCAGGACGCCTGGAAGCGAGCCGGGCAGAGTGGAGGGAGCAGCCTGTGCCAGGCCCGGAGACCTGGGCGAGCATAGGGTTCCCTGCTGCCTTTGTAGAGATGGGGGTCGGGGGGGCTGCGTGCAGGGAGAACTGCGTGGGCGGGCGCCTTGTGCTGAAGCCACCTTCCTGAGCTGCACTGACATGTCCGTGTGGACAGGGGCTGATGATGACATGTCACAGCCGTGCTCAGGGACAGCGGGCAGGCCAGCTGGCACACCTGTGCTACCCCAGAGCCGAGGCATGTCCCTGTCCCTGCCAGCTCTGTCTTCCCCCTAGATCTTCCCACCCCACGGGACAGTCACACCCATTCGTCAGACTGAGTCCTTTCCGCGAGTGGCACTGTTCTGAGATGGTTTGGTCCCAAAGGGACATCGTCCTTGGTGGCTCCCTAGCCACGTGAGGAGCTGCGCTGGGGTGGCCCTCCCACAGACCTGTGGCTGGGCAGGGGCGTGTCTGTCTCGGGCCCCCCGTCTCAGAACACTGGCTGTCCTCTCCTTCTTGTTTAGGCTCCAGCTGGGGTGAGAGCAGCTCAGGGAGAATAACCAACTGGCTGGTTCTGAAGAACCTCACGCCCCAGGTAGGAGCCCAGGCAGCCCGGTGCGCTGGGAGCGAAGGTTCCCGGTGAGGTGAGGTGGGGGCTCCCTGAGCCCGCAGGGGCAGAGGAGATGGCCAAGGTCTGGTCCAGCGGTCCCCACCCTGCAGCTTGGGCCTGGGGGCCGACCAGACATACATGGCCTTGCCCTCAGCCAGAGACGGATGGTGTCTGAGTGGGTCTGCCCTTCCCACAAGGGGCTTCTCAGCCCCTGGGCAGCTGCCTCTGCAGGCTGGGTGCTCAGAGCCACCCCGCTCGTCCCCCAGGGAGCAGTGCGGGGGGAGGGACCCTGCTGGGCAAGGAGCGGGAGGCCCGGGGCTGTGCAGGTGGGGAGGGGGCACTGCACCCCGTCACAGCAGGGAGCCCCGACCTGGGACGACCTCCCTGGCGGCTCTCCACCTGCCGCTGACCGCAGCCCCCCCCCACCCCCACCCCGACCTAGATCGACGGCTCGACTCTGCGGACCCTGTGCATGCAGCATGGCCCGCTGATCACATTCCACCTGAACCTGCCCCACGGCAGCGCCCTGGTCCGCTACAGCTCCAAGGAGGAGGTGGTCAAAGCTCAGAAGTCTCTGCACATGTAAGTGCCGCCCGCGGCCGGTGTGTCGGAGCCCCCGCCCGGTCACGTCCGGCCACACGGGCTCCCCGCGTCCTCCCCTCCTCTCTCTCCTCCGCTGCTTCTGTAGTGGACTCCGTGTCGCCCTCGGTTCTGCACCAGGCAGACCCTCCCATCGGTCCATTGATCGATGGCCGCCCGTCTCTCCCTAGGTGTGTGTTGGGGAACACTACTATTCTTGCTGAGTTCGCCAGTGAAGAGGAGATCAGTCGTTTCTTTGCACAAAGTCAGTCCCTGGCCCCCGCTCCCGGCTGGCAGTCCCTCGGGTCCGGCCAGAGCCGGCTGGGCCCCCTCGACTGCTCTCACTCCTTCTCCAGCCGCGCGGATCTCAATCACTGGAACGGTGCTGGGCTGTCGGGAACTAACTGTGGAGACCTTCACGGCACTTCCCTCTGGGGGACCCCACACTATTCCACGAGCCTGTGGGGTCCTCCCAGCAACAGCGACCCCCGGGGCATTAGCAGCCCGTCCCCCATTAACGCTTTTCTTTCTGTTGACCACCTGGGTGGGGGTGGGGAGTCCATGTGACAGGTAGATGGAGATTCGCGACGACCGAGACCTCAATCAGGATGCGAAGCAAAGGGCACGAAGCTGGGCCCGCCGCCTGCCGCCGGGGCCGCCTGTGGGAACAGCTCTTCTCTGCACATTTTCCACTTTGTTTTCCCCAGAACATATCAGTTTGAATACTTGAATCATGCAGGCCAATATTATAATGTGAAGGTATCTCGATTTACACTCCCCGGTAGCGCCATACGTGCGATCGCATCGCGTGAGCTCACGTGTGCACGTGATCATGTTTGCTTTGCTTCTTTGGTTTTCTCCCCCCCTCCCCCCCCCTTTTTTTTTTTTTTGCAAAACCATTTTGGAGCTGACAATGTATGAGCTTTGACCTTTGCACTGAACGATGTTCTGGCCGGCTCGTCGGCACCGTGGGGGCGGCTGTTCCAGTGTGATGTTTACTCAAGGATGTCCTGGGCGTGCGAGCTCACGCCCAGGACACGCGTCTGCCTTCCGTGCTGTCTGTCGTGGAGCTTAAACGATCGAGTAGTAATACTGACTTCGGACTCTAAACGAAAGTCTTGCACCAGTTTTTCCGTGTTATGAAACTAAAGAATTTCGCTCTGCAGTTTGAAAAACTGTGGCCACAGCTGTGACTCGCAGCCCGCCTGCCACCCGGGCGGGCCCTGCACTTTGTCTACGCTTTTCCATTTTGTTTTGGAGGTTCCCTCGTTGAACCTTCTTGTTTACAGATTTTTTTTGTTTGTTTTTTGAGAAAATAAAATGTTTACTCTTCCATCATTTAAAAAAAAAAATTTAAAGACAAAAAAAAATGGAGGATGATTTAAAAGATGCTTCTATCTCTGGGAAAAAAGAGCAGCATTGGCCATGTTCTCTCGTCTTTCTATTCCTGTCCTAAATCAAAGAGCATGGTTCTCAGGAAAACCAGTTCCCCAGTTAAAAAAAAAAAAAAGAAAAAAAAATTCCTTGTAGTTTCTTACAGGAAAGGAAGAAAACCCCCCCAATTTTTAGCTCTGATACTATGTACTGCTGTGTTCAAGAATTTTCTCTGCCAAAAAAAACAAAAAACAAAAAAAAAACCCCACAAAAAAAAACAAAAAAAAAACGCTTCAAGCTGGAGTTTGAGATTCTGCTTTCAGATGCTATCTTTTTATTAGTGAGTGATGATGGTTTGCTGATCACCCATAAATAGGTAACACTTTTGTAACGCCATCACGTGGCTCTGTTCCTGCTCTCGTGAGTGTGTTCATGTCTAACTGTTGTACCTTAAAGCCGAAATCAGTAACTATGCATCCTGTAAGCGAGATGCGGGCTTACAGAATTGTTCGTTGTACAAAGACAATTTTAAATGTTGTTGCAAACTGACGAGTTACACCATTTTTACAACGTCTTTCTCTCCTGCCCCCCTTTTTTTGCCCACAAATGGTATTATAATGCTTGTTAGTCAAAGGAGAGACTAAACAAGGGTAAAAATTTTAACTACACAATTTGCCATCATTTCATTGCCTTGATTCTAACTGTTTGTCCTACTACGCAGAGGAAGTCAGTGGCTTTTAACTGTTTACAAATAGAACGTGATTGTAAAATGTACAGTTGGGTTGTGTTTGAATTATGAAGTCTCTTCAGATACAATAAACCACGACTTTTTGGCTGCTCAGCATTACCTGTCTCCTTTTTGTGAATTTATTTGTACGCTCTTTTTTATACTGAAAGTTTCAAGGTCGCTGTGTATGAGACGCCTCAGAGCAGCCGATTAAAAATCCAAGCAAACATTTGAACGTTTTACCTGAACGTATCCACACTTTCACCCTGAAACAATGTGAGAACCGTGGGAAACTGTAGCTTGCTCCTTCCTGCCCTCTCTGAGCACCTGTGGGATCTCGCTGCTCAAAACTTCTGTGACTTCATCTTCCCCACCATCTGTGCCCATCTCAAGCCTCAGCCACAGACCCTCCGGAACATGAAGCTTAATGACGTGACAGTGTTCTCGTGTTAAACTCTCATACCTCTGTTACAGAGCGAGCAATGCCACCGCCTGGACTGGCCTTCTCCCGGCACAGCCCCCACGCTCTCTGCAGGAGCTTGGGGACAAGCCTGTGCGTGTCTCCAGTGTGTGACTTCAGTCTCGCTGCAACTTGCCAGGTGTAAGCTCATGATCCGTGCATTCGATGTGTACTGACTTCCATACTGGTTTTTCCAAAAACCAAAGGTAACTTCGAAAAACCACGTCTGGAAATGTTTGGACGTTAAGCTGATCGACCTTCTTCTGGGGCTTTGAGTAGTATATAATTGACTTCATAAACTGCGTTCATTGTATTGTTACAGTGTTTGGGAGTTTTTTGCGCTTGTTATGTGGAAATAAAGTGTTTGATTTAAAAAAGTAATACGCGGTGTGATTTTTGCCTGGTCCTTCAGTAGCGCGCAGCTCTAGCCCTTCCCTAAGCGATGGTCTCACTGAAGTCTCCGTCTGTCCCAGCTGCCGGTGCCCTAGTGCAGGCCCTTGTGTGACCGTGACATTCCCCTGGTTTAACAGCTTCCCGTCGCTGACGGCCTACAGAAGTCGGCCTGAACATGTGAACACGTCCAGTCATGCGTTTCCAAAGGCAGCTCAGCGGCCACACGGCTCCTGGTCCCCCAGCCGCCTGCCTGGCACACACTGAACCCCTCATTACCTAGGGTGCTGCTCCGGTGATGCATAAGCTCTTGTTTCTGTCATCTGACACGGCAGTTGCTAAATATTGGAAGACTCACCTGGGCACCTTTGAGCGCCAAAGGTTGTGGCAGTGCCACTCTTAGCAGACTGTGAGGTGGGTGAACCAGCCAGGCTGAGGTGCAGCTCTTGAGAGACAGGGCCACGTGCAGACCCGGCGGGGAGATGGGCCCCGAGACGCTGCGGGGAGGCGTCTCCATCAAGACAGGAAGGACAAACGGGCTGCGCTGAGCTCGGTAGCCGGCGGGACGGCATTTCCAGACTTAGGGCCTGGCTGGTGTTCCCCCTTCTCCAAAGCCCAGATCTGTCCCTGTGGGTCCTTGGATTTCAGGTGTGAGCGGCGGGTCGCTGGACGAGCTGGATGCACAACCCAGGTGAGCCCTGGGGCCCTTACGGAGCCTGACGTTAGCTACAAGGTCACGGGGACGGGACAGCAGCTGTGACGGTTGAAAGGCTCCACATCCGTGGTGCTTGTACAGGGTTCCGCACTCAACTCAGGATGCCCCCGCCTGGCCCGAGAGCAGCAGATGGTATCCTAGTGCAGCATTTCTCAAGCTCCACCAAGACCCCCAAACGCAGGTGGGGTTGGGGTGCTGGCCCTCGCCCAGGGGCAGTTACGCTCTGCATTTTAGGTGAGGCTGCTGGTGAAGGCTGCGTCCTGCTCCGTCCTGCCCATGTACCTGAAGCTGATGGAAGTGGCCAGCTACATCGCTGTCCAGAGACGCGCTTCACGAAGGTGAGTCACAGGGACCCCTCGTGCCTTGAGGACGTGGTGCTGAGGCTCCAGCCTGACTGCAGCAAAAGGGCCAGAGTGACCTCCCTGAGTCACGGGCCCCATCCCCACCCCCGGGGACCATCGTCCTGTCCTGGCTGGCTGCTGACCCCCTAGGTAAGGAAGCTTTGGGTACCCGTGTTCCCAGTCCATCCCACTTCTGAAAGAGGACAGACTTCAAGTGGCAGCAGGACCTGAGCAGTCCGCAGGCCTGACTCCAGCTCACGGCCCGTTACAATGTTAGCCCATCACTGAGCCCCCTGCGTTTCCACTGGGCCCATAGTTTTAAAATAACCTTAAGTCAATTTCTTGACAAAATAAAAGGTGACATACAGAAAACTCACTGCTGCTAGCCATATGAAAGGGAGTTAGAGACACAGGACAGGCTGAAAAATGCATCCAGTTCTGGGGGGATCCTTTTCTGTCCGAGTTAGTGGGGAACCAGCCAGAGTTGGGGAGGTTCAGGCATGCCTCCCAGAGACCACTGCAAGGGGGTGCTGCCTCCTTTCACCAAAAGGCCCTGCAGGTTGCCTTCAGCTCTGCTTCAAGCCCGTGGCTCAGCCTGCCCCTGGAACCACGTGGCTCCATCTCCATGGAGACGCACCAGTGACTGAAAACCACCCGAGACAACCCTGAGTAATCAGGGCAAAACCCATGTGCCTTTGAGGAGGTGGGATTTGAGCAGAGCCCCCCACCCCGTGAGTGGGCAGCCAGCCTGGGAGAAAGCAACCCCAGAGGCCGAGAGGGGATTGGGGTGCCTGGGACATGGTGACCCAGGGGACAGTACGGCAGACCAGCCCGAGAGGGAGGTGGGCACAGGGGCTGCCTGCTGGGGTTGCCTGGGAGCTCTAAGGAGCCCAGTGTCAGGCCCACCGCAGAGTCTGACTTCACGGGCGCAGCATTTTCTAAAACCCTTTTTATTTATTTTTTATTTTTGTAGCACTTGTTACAGTCTGATGTCCTTTCGCCTCCCTGCTGTCTGTCTTGTCTCTGTCACCCCGGGAAGTCCCCTTGTGCTGCTAACCCAAGAGCCTCAGCTCAGTTACGTCAGAACCATGTTTACAGCCTGTAGCTCCCAGAAAGAACCAAGCCCCTTCCCACGACCCGAGGCCGTCAACTCCAC